TACCAGCGTCGTGTGGCTGGTACTGCAAGAATGCTCCTTCCCCAGCCCAGCGCCGGGGCCCCTGGGTGCTCCCACCACGGGAGCAATTAGTGGCACTCATTAGGTACAAATGAGGTCTCGGTACAAACTGGTACAGTGTCCTAGGAGACAGGAACTGTTTCTCCAGACAGGCATATACAGGAGGGCGGTATGTCTGCAGAGAAAGTAGAACTGTCAGCCTTTGCCTGCATCCCTCTTTGGACTATATACAGACAGCTCCCAGCACGAGAGGGGATCTGGTACGCCACTCAAGGTTTCCCCAAACAGCACATTACATTTGAGATTTTTTTTTTCTTTTTAAAGGAGAGCAGGTACAAAAATAAAAGAAATCCATATACTCTGAAAATATACTGGAAACTGCCACCACAGATGAGGTACCATTTATCCCGACCCCCCACCCCCAAACTGCAAACATCAAAATATATATGTTTTTAAACAAAGGAAGAATATCTGGCTATTTAATCTCAGTTAAAATGACAGCACCCTTTGTTACACTTGATATTTCACACCATTAATTCTCTTTTGAAAAAAACAAGATATCTAACTAACCTTGATTCCTTGCTTTTCTCCTCATTCCTTAGTGCAGTAATTGTCCATCTCCACTTAAATAAATATAGCAGCTACAGCATCATAAACGTGTGGCCCTCACAACGCCAGTAACTTGATATTGTAATACAAATAAGTATCGGCACTTTACGTAGATATTTGCAAAACCAAGAATAGAGATTAAAACTTCCAAATACTCTTCACATGAAAACCAGGTAAAATGCTAGCTCGATACATAATTGGAGACACTTTCCCAATGAAGTTGCTTTGATTTATTTTTTGGTGAAAGTAGCAAGCAAAAAAGCTTCTCAAAAATCATAGTCACTGAGCGTGGGCAGGACAAGAAGCATACAGTGTCTTTGAAAGGAGCGTTAAAAGATTTTTTAAAAAGGAATTTTCATCTAAACACCAGAAATCCACGAGAATTCTTTGTAAAATAGGTTTTTGTTTAAAAAAATTCTCTATTTTAAAACAATTTTCTGTAAAAAGCCTAACCTGAACCTTTTATAAACAGAACTACTAGCTAGAGTGCTTCTGAGAGGAAACGGACAGGTCGCAGACCAAGAAAACTGTCGGAAACCATCTTGCTCAACTTATTTAGTGAGACCAACCTCCCTGCAGCGGGTTTAGTTGAAGGCGCTGAAGGTAAGTGCATGGAGACGTCAAAGAGCGCGGCTGGGCCAGTCCTGCTCCGCGGGCGTTGCTGCCCCCGGACCCCAGCGACTCTCAGCCAGGTCAGGGTCTGCCGAGTCTCCCTTGATCACCCCCCCACTCCTCTCCGGGGGCCCCCGAGCCGCTCGCCAACTGCCCACCGTCACGACTATTTCCAGTGCAATTTTAACTTTGCAAAGTTACGTCTTTTTACATTATCTTCCTTGGTATCGGGAGATAAAATACGTATATACACTAACTGTTTAGTAAAGCTCTTTGAGACAGTGTTGTGAACAGCACTACGTACATTTCAATACAATATACAAACGCACAAAATACAGTACTTTGTTTTCTGGCAGAAAAAAAAACGGGGGAGCATCATGCCTGTTGAAGCGAAATGGGCTCAGATTTTAGGCTCAAAATACAGTATATTGGCAAACAGCGGATTTCGTGAGAATGACAGGAGATAAGCTACTTAGACCAACCCACTGGTTTTCATGTGGAGAGCAGGTGGAGTTCAGAAGGGCTGGGATAACAGCAATGCCCATACAAACAATCTGCAGTATATATACTATGAACCAGTGCAAGTAAAAACAGTCAAAAATGCAGTTCACGAGTTTACAAAGTGCAAAACTCCCCAGTCCCCTCATTGAATAAATGCTTGTCTGACATCTTAAATATTGTTTTACCTTTAAAGTGGAATGAAAGAGTCCCATTAATTTGTTTCACATTTCAGTGATTTAACATGTTAGAACTATCCCAGCCCTCTTTATTTGCAGAGTGAAATGAAGTTACCAATAACTTAATTTTAAAAGGAAAGTCATTATCAAAGAGGAAAAAAGCCTAAAAACTGTTTATTGATTCCAGACATTTTACTGATGTCAAATAGATTTAACTAAGCATGTAAAAACTTAGATCTTAATAAAAAACCCTTTCCATTTAATTCAAATATCCTCCACATTTCAAAGCCAAAAATACAGCCAATTCCTTTGTTAAATCAAAATACTGCAGTGACAAGTAAAGCTCGCAGAATTCTAGAAGCATTTTTTTGCTATTTTTTGATTTAAAAAAGGAAAATACAAGATTCCTTCTGACTATAAAACTTTCCTTTCAAAATTAAGGCTTTTACTTTGTCCTTTTAAAATCATGGAGGTGTCCATTCTTCCACAGTTAGTGGTACAAACACTGCTTTAGTACAGCTCAATGGACACAGTTTTCCTTTAGAACGCTTATTGCACTAAAAGATAGCAAAACAAGTTGTCAGTTTTTTTTAAAAATAAACATGGTTACATTTCTAAAAAATAAAAGTTGATGTTGACCATATGTTCTGTAATAATTAAATTAAAGCATTATTATTACTCTAATAAATATAAAAGAAACAAAAGGAAGCTAAACTTCAAAAACACATACATATGAAATCACATTAAGGTGTGAGAGGCAGCAAGTAAACTAGCATTTTTCTTTTTTCCAAAAAGACCTTAGCTCTAAAGTTTCAGTTCTGGTGTTTACTAGATGCAATCCCATAAAACTTGGGACATCTGATCTCACCTGAAGCTTCAACATATTTGACTTGCCAGATAGAAAATAATTGAAACTTTTGGACTAGGTAAAACAGCAGCTTTAGTAAATTCACCAGGGAGCAAGAAGAGTTTGGATCACTACTGCCTGCACATACTACCACTAGCTTCTTTGCTTTTTAGAAGGGAACCATTGGAGCTGAGAACTCCAAAGCTGTGAAGAAAGACACAAAGGCAGCAGTTGGCTAAATTATGTTCAAATTACTGTATTAGTGTGCAAAACATCTTCCCCTCCTCATTTTTTTCCTAGCTAGTGCTGTACATTCAAATGTACTTGGATATGTTCACATTCGAATGCTTGATGGCAATATTGAGAGAAAGATTCCTCAATGCAGTGGGGTAAAAAACTTAATACTTTTTTTTTTTGCACACTTCCCTCCCCCAAACAATCATTGTGATTGTTTCTATAAAGGTGGTTTGCCTTTTTTTTTTTTTTTAATTATACCATTGATTTTTTTATTGTTACTATTTTATTTTTTTTTGCAAAGATAGTTGTGCTGCCGAGCAACTTGAGGTAAAGGCATAAGAGGGTTAAACTACGAGAAATTAAAAAAAAAAAAAAAGATGGCGGTGCTTCCTACAGGAGACCGCGCCAAAAAAGCAGTTGGCTGGTTTCATATTGCATAATAGTGCTGTGTTCCTCGATGAAGTAAACAATCTTCCTTGTGTCAATTTAAGGGTTAGCCTCTCGGCCCTGCACAGTGTCAACTTCAGCATGATCAGAGGCACACCCCATAAACCAACCCCACTGGAAACATACATTGTATGTGGCTTAATTTTTCAGTTCTTCCTTTCAGTGAGTATGCTCCCGTTTTATTGACTTAAGCGAAGTACATCGTGCGTAAGGTGTCTTGGTGAATTTGTACAGCCTTCGCGAGGGCCTGTGGATCTCTCCCATTGCTTTGTCCTGAAACATGGCTTCCTTCAGCACTGCAAGAACACGAGAGACACAAGCAGGGCTGTAAATCCCGTCAATTCAGATCAAAAGCTGCCTTCTCATCTCTTCAACGTTTAAGAGGGCAACATGGCAACAGTAATAGAACTGGATACTGAGAAAAATCTACTTGTCTGTTCACCCAGCAACCTCGAGGCTTTTGAGAAATCCCCTTACCTTAGCTGCTCAGCTTGTCCATCTAAAAATAAGCCTGTTACAAACACGCTGACGGCTGGAAGGTTATAGAATAGTTCTGACGTACAAAGCAGAGTTAGTAAGCGGAAGGCACTTAACATTTTCTTCATGCACAACCACTCTAATTCTAAAGCAAAAAACTAAACGCGTGGCTTGATTCCCTCAGACCACGTCAAAGTAATACCAGAATACTTTATTAAACTAAATTCTTATAATCTGACTGTTATTCAGTAGAGTCCACCAACCCGCTCTTGTCTGATACTGAGCAGCAGCTGTCAGGAATGACTATCTTAATACTAGTCCCAGAAGTAACAAAAATTAACTACAAAATGAGGGGTAATTACCTACAGTCAGATGGCTCATGCCTGACAATGGAGCAAAGACCAACGGGGACAAAAACTTAAGCGCACGTTTTCATTTACCTGTCATGTTCTTTGTCCACAAGATGGTATCGTGCTCTGAATGCTACCAGGTGAGCATAATACGCTGGTGCGGGTATAGAAACCGATCGTGTACAGCGCACATATGTGTGGCAGAGCTGGTAAGTCAGCAGCTGAAGTTCATCTGCAGTAAAACAGTTATCATCCCACAAAACATGATAGTGTGAGGGACGGCTGGTACCCTAAGAAAAAGGGAAGATCAATTCACTTATGTTTTTTCCATACAATCGAGTCAGATTAAGTTCAGAAAGGGCCAGACTACCTAGTCTGAACTCCTACATAACAGAAGCCAAAGACAATTCAGTTTTATGTCAGCCCTAAATGTAGTTAAAGATTAATAAGAAGTCTAACACTTACATGATTATGTTACTCTAATTATTCTTGCTTGGAAAAAAAAAACCAACACATGCCTTCTAGATAATCCTCAACGATCAAAATCTGCTTCCAACATGACTAAACCATGATTACACCACCTTTTAACTACCTTGAATTAAACCTGTTTCTCACTGAGACACATCTCCCAGAGAAATAACTGCTGCTTTTAGCTCTTTCCAATTCCTTAGCACCCTAACTTAAAGTACGAACACTAGAAATGGTTCCAGTATTTCAGAAGTTACCTACAGAGTTCTACACCAAAACACACACTTCCTTCCTTACACACGATGCCATCTTTCCTACAGGCCCAAGAGTTGCCTTGCTCTTTGGCATTACGCTGAATCAGATTTTCACATGTCACTCGTGTGTCAAGGTTCCCCCCAGATACGTGCTGACTTTCACGACAAGTACTTAATGTTTCCTTATAGACCAGCACCAAGTACTGAATACCAAGTACAGTTCTTAGGAACTCGTTCTCTATTAAATGATGCATTACTTTGAAAGATACTCTTTTGGAGTGAACACTCCTCTTCCCTCCTGCTTCCTTCCCACAAAGGGTGGGATAGACTCTAAGAGTTAACTCCAGTGTAACTGAATTAGATCAATAGTTGTATTTTAGCCAGGATAGAAGTCTTTTTTTTTTTTTTTTTTTAAAAAAAGGTATCAATTTAGTTAAGACTTCTTTGTGACTTGCTATATTAAAAACAACGAGCTGCAACTACATCTGGCATTTCTGCTTCAACTTATATTGGTACTAATTTTTTTCCAAGGGGCCAAAAACTAGCTTGCCTGGACCTAGCATAAAGACAGACATGTAAGTGGAGAAAAACAGCGGAAGTTTTCAACTCCAGAGTAAAAACATTGCAATGATAAAAACTGGAGAAGAAAACCTGTCCACCCAACCTAAACAAAATGAGTGATAATGTGGTCAGATGCACAAAAATTTAAAGAGGGTTTTGGGTTTTTTGGCGTTTTTTTGGTGTTTGGGTTTTTTTTTTCATTTTTAAGCAATATCCTTATATAACTTTTGTCATTAAGTTGACTCTCCACTGTATTGCTGGCAATACCACCACATTGTTGGATTTAATTTCCACAGCCTGTAATTCACTAGTCTGCATTTAGTCTGTGAAGTCAAACATTGCCTTCGGTCTTTCAAACTGTTTAAAAACCTGATTCAATGTTAATTTCGTTGCGATTAGAAATCCTAAAAGTAGCAGGTTTTATTTTCAGAAATAACAAGGGTACAAAATAAAGTCACCTCTTCAAAAGAAACTTTAAAAAGCATCACTTACCATCAATGCAAGTTTTAAGGGTGTAGCAGAGACCACCTCTTAAGCAAATAATACTTACTCTCACAATAATGTGATATCTGAGATAAAACTGAGCTAAATGACATTTCCCTACTAAATAACTGTTTGTAAACACAAGTGTCACAAAAGGGAGAAAGCCCAACATGTTCTAAATTCACGTTTACTTACAAAGAAGCAATCATACCTGTATTCCAGCATGGCTACAGAGGTAAAAATCAAACTCGTATGGATGTGTAATGTCTGTATCTACAGTTGTTCCAGCTGGAATATTGCCACTTCGTCCAACCTAGAGAACAGGTTTTGTTAAAAAGTGCAGCTAACAATTGTTTATACATCTCAACTGTAATTAAAAATATATTTCTATTCAACACATGCAAGGTTTCAGCAAATGAACTGCCACAGTACTGTTTGGAATGTGGCAATACAGCCGCCTAGGATGTTTGACAAGGACTCTGCATGGCTCTACCATCTCAACACAGAACACTGCACCCACAGCACTTCAGAACTTTCAATCTCAGAAAGACGGAAGAGCTGCACATATGTTTGCCTTTTGAATTGTCCGCTTGAGTTTGGATCGACTCGCTCAGAAGAACAGAAAAGTTAAGGGCTCCATCATTCTGCATTTTCTTCTATCACAAGTGCTGTAGTTACATGAATCTTAGCTACAGCTCACTGACAAAGACTAGTATCAGCGTGCAACATGACAAAGCCCGACGGGGATTTTTTAACATTCTTAAGGTCAATGATTTTTCAGTTTGGGGCCACATTTTGCCCTTACCAATTCAACATCTTCCCTGAATGCAAAGACAATCAGATCAACAGAGAAGCCCATGCTAGTATTTTCTCCAGCAGTGTAAGTACTTGACATCAAGCTTTTCACATAAGGCTACTGATTATTACCCTTTCTGTTCTGTCAGCACAGAACAATCGTGTATGATGTCGCTTCTGTACCACAATATAGGTTATTCCAGGCTGGTAATCTTTTTCCAGACTGATGCAGGCTTCTCTAATGGCTAGCAGTTCATAATACAAAACCTACAAGCACAAGAACAGATTAGTTTAGGTTTTACTTCTATTGTATTCTGCACACAACACCTAATAAACGGTTTGCAGTTAACACTAAGTACAACTTTGCCATACAATTAGCAACCTTAGGAAGTACTTGGAAATATATTGATTCCCAGGTTCTAAGACCTCTCCTTCACAGAGAGGAAAGAATTTGCAACTTTTCTTACCCAACATCCTTAAGAAATTCTCTCCTTAAAAGTCTCAATTATTTTGTGGTATCTTGGTGTAAACATAAGCAACTCAAACAGTACAGTTATTCAAATATGAAAACTGGAGTTATTACGTAGTAACACAGTCCTTCAAGAAATCCACAAATGAACCAACCTGTCGAAACTGCCCCTCAGAGACCCCGTCCCTATAGAAGATGATACGTGTGGGCTTGAACCGTGTTGACTTGTAGAACTGGATGAGAAGCTCTCGCACCATGGAGGCTAGATCTTGGATGATTTCCTGCCGGGGTCGCTGAACTCTCACCGTGGCACAGTACCGGCTTGGATGAGCATCCATACTACCTACAACCTGCAGGGGAAGATTACGTGAGTAAAGGCTGCAAGATCAAATCTATACCAAAAAAAAAATTAAAAGAGCGCAAAAGCCAAGAGCAGCAATTCTCAAGTAAAAGATGCTTATGTTAAAACAAGAAACCACAGTAACATTTTTACCTGGAACTTGTAGTAGGAACAGGTTTAACACTTCTGCAAAGAGGTATAAAACTTGCCCTCCAAGTACTGTGAAATGCATCTGCAGAATTGGAGTCTTCCCCTCTGTTCACAGCACACTAATGCATATTCTTATAACTCACACACAGACTTTTCTCTTTGAAGTTTTCTCACCTTTTACACAGAGAAACACTTCGGTTTGCCTTAGTTACTTTAAACAAGGACGCAGTTTCTGTAACTGCAATCAATGCCAAGTAAAAGACCAAGAGAACAAAATAGAAAGGGACTGACCAAGCATCCAACCACCACTTTGATCTCCTGGACTGCATCAACACAAAAGGTAAGAAGGATCAAAAACATTCCTGCCAAACTAGACCTTTAATTACATTTTTCTCCTTTAAAAATACAAAAGCATCATTCACTAACATCACAAAGCTGCAGTATTCCCTTTAGAATATTTTTGCAGAAATACATTATTTAACATGGCTGCCATTTTACCTTGATTTAAAAATTGAAAAGCTAAGAAAACAGTCCAAAGTACCAAGCAGTGTTCTCCTTTTAAAGACATGACTTTCAGTAATATTGGAAATATGTACAAAGAACTGACATAAGCCCTGAAAGATATCTGACATAGACATAGTCCATGAGTTGCATTTACTGTTCTAACATTTACCTAAGATGAAAAAACAATGCTAATTTAACGTAACTTACAGCAGCTATGGAAGGCTTCTTTCCATCTCCAGCAGGAGGGTGAGTGACATCAGCTCCCAAAAAGATCACTGGCTGCTGGAACACAGAAGGTCTTCAAAAAGAAAAAAGTGCTAAGTCACACTTGCAGATGAACAGTTGGCGCAAGGTTATTGCTCAATATGGGGGTTTGTTTCTAGTTCAGCTACGCTACAAAGAGAAGCCCTCTTATCAGGTACTCTGGCCAAACCTAAACAATGAAATCTTTGTGCACAAGATGTGAACTTTGAAACCAGCCGTTCCAAAATACATTGCCATTTAACTGTGGCATGATTCCAGTGGAGAAAAGCCACAGAACGGTGCAGACAGCTTCATACAGAAACTAGCACTCTACAGGCTGATTACACCAGTGCTTGGAGCTCAGCTAAGTCCCACTTTGGTACCGCACCAGCCATGCCACAAACAGCTGGTGCAGTAGCACACACATTCTTCTGACTTACAGGATTTAACAGCAGGATGGTCTCCCAGTGCCTTCAAAACACCACTGTTTCACATTTAAACTTTGATTCCAAGCTCTCAGGAATTCTCAGGAAAGAATTCTTAAGACTTGCACTCCAAGAGTTTTTCTGGCTTGCTACCTTGCTTTATGCATATTTCCACTCAAAGAACAGGTATGCTCTAGTAAAGGTTAGAATCAATCTGAATTTCTAGCCTTCAGGACCTAAAGACTTGTGCTTTTCCAGAATGATCCATGTGAGAAAGCTGGGAGCACACACAGGTTGGACTTCGCAAATCTTCTCACTGAAGTCATCAAAGTGATTGGAACACACTTACAAATAGAGCATGGACAACAGCCACACAAAAAACAAGTGTGAGCTGAATTACCCAGCCTATAAAAGTGAGAGAAGTAAGATTCCTCCAGTATTCTTCTACTCTTATTAACAGCATTATCCTGGTTTCAGCTGGGATAGTCAAAATGATCAAACATTTGGAAAGAACCTTGACTTAAGAGCCAACTCGGGCCAACTACTCCTCAGAGCCCAGGCTAGAAGAAATTTATTTCTACTTCACGTACCACATGCCACAATCAGAAGAATATTTCAACTTAAAACTAGGCCGCAATTAAATTTTGGGTGCTAAGTATCAAACTTAACATCTGTTAAAAAAAACCCCAAATCAGTCTCTACAAAGCGTCTTACCGTTGATGAGGTACAAGGATGTTGTTGATTCCTCCTAGTTTAACATTAATCTTCAGGCACAGATTTGATAGGGTCTGTGGAGATGTTTTAATGACGTTCTTAACTTGAACACACTGTGTGGCCATTCCCAACAGTGTATCTCCCACACGCTTCACCTCCGCTGAGAAGCAAATGTTAGGATACAACATTTGAAATTATTACTTGATCTTTGCTTAAGTCACAATTATTTAAATATACATACTCTGCAACACAACTTTCAACTTATCCATGTGCTCAGATCTGCTTCCAATTCATGTTAGCTTCAGACAAAACATTTGTTTCTAATGTCTAAAGAATGGTCCTGGCTGAGCAGCAGATTTCTCAGAATGATACTTGACCGAACAGGTAAAAAAAGAGGTATTCCCTTACCGTACACTGGCGTTTTGCCTGGCAGGATGACAATGATGAGCTGGAGCCCCGAATATGTGTTCTTGAGGTGTCGAAACATGGGCTCCACACTGTCTGCGCCCTGGGCATATTTACAGAAACAGGGCTGGCCTTGGATCGGCATCCCTGCATCTTTGGAGATCTTGCGCAGCTGGTCTGTGAAACCCCTAAAGACGAGAACAAGTTTTTTTTGAATTTTCACAGTAGCACTAGCTCACAACCACCAAAGCAGAAGGGGACAGAAGAACTGTGTTACTTAAATGAAGATGATTCCAAATAGCTTTTAAAGCAGCATTTCAAAAATGTTAATTATGTGGAGGCTGTACAGCTTTGAAACATCATAGGCCAGAATGGAGAGAGAAAAAAAAGTTTAGATGCCTTTAGTACTTCACTCAAGATGTCAGAAGTAACTAAACAGAAAGCAGCAACGTCGCAGGACCAAGACACCACAGTGTACACAGGTACAGCATTTTGACTGTAGCTTCCAGCAAGGAAGCAAAATGGCTTGGACTCTCTAACATCTTAGATGATTAAAACCAGGTAAAACACTCATTAGAAGTCTATGTTCATGTTTTCACTAAGATGGCTTCATTAAGAGAACAGTCCAAAGCCTAAACTCTGACATGCCTTACTTCAGTATCTCTTCTCTGCATTGTCTCTGTGTTGCAAAGCAAGCTATAGCCCACATTTTGATCTCAACACCGGTGTGAAACTGCTTCCCTCGCATGTCCCATACTCCATGGCTTGGGGTTGCCACAGTTCGATTCTGTGGAAACAAAAGCAACAGATATTCAAGTGACTGAAAAGAAAAAGCCTATGCTATTTTCACAGTTTCAGGATTAAAAAACAAAACAAGTTTACCATTCAAATTCTGATCTCTGTATTGCACAATGCAACTGAACTGACTACAATAGTCAATGTGCACAGGAAATCACTCTTCAAAATAGAAACAAAAGAAAAAGCAAAAACCTCACCCGTCCTCCATACTGCAGCATTGGAGCTGGGAGCACGCGCCCCGTCACATGGGCCATCTCATCCCGGACTTTGAATTGGAACTCTTGAACAAATGGATCTGCATCATAATTTGCACTTCTCACCTAGAAGAAGAGTTTTGCCATATTACAGAAGTATCTAATTATAATTCATATCACAAACAAAAGACTAACAGGAATGCTGCAGAAGCATTCTACAACAATTCTCCTTGTCATTGAGAAAGGCTCAGATTTAACTGCTCAACATTATCCCCAGTGAAAACAATTAATACCATGAGATATATTGGGTGAGATTTTTGTTTGTTCCCTTAGTTACTCAAGTGCTCATTTGTAGTACACTCATTCAAAGATATTTTGTTTACTCACAGGATAGATCAAAAACCATTGTCCTTTAGAGTCAAGAAACCCAAGGTTAAACAAATTAATTCATTTTATTACTGCACATTCATGTCTTCTGTATTTTCCAGAATAGCCTTATTTTAATTGAAAAATTCTGGCTAACTTGTCAGCTCAAAAACCAGACCGTTTCAAGTAAGAGCTATCTGTTTACCAGAGCATTCAACTAAAAATATTCAAGTTTTATAGTATTTCAAGTCAGAAAAAGCACTGATGTTTAGACTGTCTGGATTCAGTAAGAAAAGATACCGGAGTTATCAGGTGAAAACATTTAGTGTGTACCACAGCAAGCAGTCACACATCTCAAGTACAAGACTGAGGCTCAGGAGACCTAGAATCATTCTTCTACCCTGTTATAGATTCCTTATATGATTCTGCACAAATCAAGTTGCCCCAGTTTGTTTTCAGTGCCTATTAAAATTAAGTAGTGCTGGAGTTACGCTACCATCTTCAAACTGCTAACAGAAAAAAAAAAAAAAAGAAATTCCCAAGTCTTCAGAGCCTAACTCATGATTTTAAAGGTATTTAGCACTGCTACAAATAAAAGCATCCAATAATAATAATAAAAAAATTATGGTGTTCAAATGCCAACAGGAACCAAGGAAAAGAAAAGTATCTAGAACAAAAGCTTATTTTCCTGAGTTTGGGTGCTAAAACCCAAGCCCATTTCACAAATTTATTTAAAAAACCTGAGTGCTCTATACAGCAAAACACTGAAAGCATTAGTACCGAGTAATTCCAACACCTACTTGGAAGTAACTGTAAAAATTAGAACGAAAGAGCTAGACTCAAGCTGTTGTTGCATGCTATTTTAAATGAATCCTATTAAAAAAAGTTGTTCAAATCTATCAAGTTGCAGGGCTAGAAGGAAGGAGTGAAAAGACTAGGTCGGTCATGTAAGAAGTTTTTGCATTAACGTGATCTGGTCCAGCGTCATTTAGTGAGTAGTATCACGCCCAACAAAATTACAGAACTAACCAATCTGCTTATTTCCTCTTGCCTATCTGGAGCAGATCTCGCTGTGGCCTTTATCATAGTCGATGTCTGATTGTCCGTCAGCTTCTTGATACACCGCTGGCCAGCTACAATGTTACATACCTTAAAGGAAAATCAGAAGCATCAATACACAACAGGAGCCCTTAGAAACAGATCCCAACATACCGTACGTACACAATACTAATGCTACTGCTACAAAACACCCCCCAATGTGTTTAAGCAACTGCATACTTCTTTCTTATAGTTCTAAACTTAAAAGCACTTTTAAAACATAGATAGTCTTTAATGAAATAAAGTAATGAACATGTAAATATGTAAACATGCTGGTATTGCAAAGTGCACTACTTCTTAACATTTTGCAAAATGATACAGCCTACCAATAACAAGCTGATTTATCAGAATAAATTCATTACTTCTAAAGGCAGGTAGGTGTGTTTCTGTTCTTGTCCCACTTGTAGGCAAGGAAGATGAGGGTATTTCAGCTGGAGGTTGTATTTCTCTCTGAAATACTGTGCTACTGTTCTCTCCACAGTCTGGCCATTTTCTAACTGCAAAGGAAAGCTGAAGAGACATACATTTAAATAACATGTACAGAAATCTTAGTTGGCAAGTATCAACATCCTCAAAACTAACAAAACATGAAGTCCTGTTACTTATTCAGTGTTAAGCTATCACACATTGTATGCTCTGACAAAAAGCATCTTACGTTTGATGACTTGCAGGCCTTCTTGTTACATTACAAACACGGTATTTCCTTCTCATCGTTCCACAGTGAGTCACTTCTACCTTTAGACCTGCATAAAAGTACCAAAAAAACCTGATGTCATACCTACATAATAATTTGCACCGGAGAGGCAAGGTTTCATACAATGGAACATGTTCTAATCTAACAGCTTTGATGGTCAGCATCAAACAGCACGACATAAATTATTATTCACTAAGCATTTTGCTTTCATTATAATTTGATTTCTGACTAATCAGGTATGATCCTAAAAACAAATCATAATGCATAACATTTAATGTTCAATGTCATCTGAGTTTCTTGTAGCGGTTTCATTTAACAGGCATGTGACTAATCTCAGACACAGGCGGCTGTTTTTACCACGTTCTTTTGTTCTTATTCTCAATGCTGTATACCTCTTAAAACTAGCAGTTCTGATGTAATTGAAATTACAAGAGCAAAACCAGATTTCTACCTTACTGTTCATTTTTCCCCTTAGCTTTGTATCCACATTCAGCCTGTAATTTTCGTTAATTTTACTGACCAAGTTTAGATTTTGAGCAGCTGAAGATCTTGTCTAACAGCACCCAGCCTACACACCGGAGGCTCCCCAGACTTGACTCGCTATCCACGGTAACAGTGACAGCAGCATTGGCAGCTTCAAGAGGCTTTCAGTGGCTGTTTCTATTAACTCTGCGTGCACTGTCTGTACTGTGCCGAGAGAGCAGACTCAACATCTGCTGGAAGTACCGAGCTTATCACACAAGTGCTGCATAGCATCGG